AGAAGGAAGAGAGGATGGCAGTTGCAGGCAAAGTTATCGGAGCTGTTCGTCTGGGGCTGGTGGATATTGGAGTTGTGATTGATGAACTGGACACAGAAGAGATGGAACGAGTTTCTGAGATTCACAAGCATTTAGTTGAGGCTCTAGTCCATAGCCACCGGCCTTCTCGTAACCCCACGTTTGTTGTGGAGAAAACAAAAACAAGATCAACGAGCCCGTTAAGAGACTTTGGATTCCACCTTGCAAAGCCAGCAAAGTCATGCGATCGATTCTATAATACATAAATCATGCTATCTTCCAAATTCATGGAAATTGCCAGGAAGTAAAGTGAAGTTCGTTGGATTTTCCTTAAAGAACGTTTGCCTAATACACAAATTTGGCATGACTGGACGTCATATAAGAATGTGTGGTTGATCATTTTCCAGCAATGGCTTGTCACGAAATCTGAGTCTTCGATACATGCACTTTGGTTTTGGTAGAAATGGACCATCATACTGAATTTAGGGGGGAAGGAAGTCTTGGCCAATTTCTCAATGATTGTTATATGTAAAATTCCCCTTTTCTTCACTGTCATTTCAGGTTCTTAATGCAGTTCTACCTCAGGCTCAAATGCAGTATTTTGATGTTGAGGCCAAAACATGGAAACCTCTGGCATCCACAATACCACCAATTGGGGCAACTCATTATCATTGTGCAACGGCTGCTGGTAATAACTTGTATGTTGCTGGATTTGACGGGGGTCATCACATTTATCGTTATGATACAGAAGGTAATATATGGGAGAAGCAGCCACACTTATGCGGTGAAATCAGCAACTTATGTACTGTAGACGATTTCATGTATGCAATCAGTTATGACTGCAATCAGGTGCCTCAAAGGTATAGCTTTTCTAAATGTCAGTGGCAAAATTTTGCTTAAGTAAGTATTACGAGTGCTTATCCTTTCCGGTTTTACAGTGGTGGAGCAGCAGTGCTTCATTCGAAGGTGTATGCCCTTTATGGAGGAAGTGAATGGGCTTTCGGTTACTTGTATGTGCGGAATGCAGGGCTACACTGCTTTGATCCAGTAAAGAACGAATGGGAACTAAAAGCAATAACCTGTAAACCTCACTTTGGATCCAGTCTTTTTGTAGTAAACAATAGACTCTATGTTGCAGGGGGGTATGATTATATTGACCAAAACGATGCTCTACAGGGTGAGACCGCAACTGTAGAAGCTTATAATGAGGAAAACAACCCTTGGTCTGTTGTGGAACAAAAACACATTCCCCTAAACACCCGTAATGCAGTGGAAATAGAAGGGAAGGTTTGTTTTATAATAAACAAATTTCCAGTTGACAGTGGCATTAGAATCCCAGCAGGAGAGCTGTATCCTGTTCATTTGGGCGAGTGGGTAAATTTGGGAAAAATCGGCAAATCTGCTGTTCTTTGTTATCTGCCAGTAAAGCGGGATAGTTTGAAAGCAGATTGAGAATGATTTTTTACTCATTTTAAATATCACATTTACACGTACATATATGCTAGAATTTTCTTGCAATGAAGTTGCGCATGGTTCAATACATGAAATATTGCACGAAGGAAAAAAGATTGTGAGTGAAGCAGGGAGGGACTGAGGCGAACAAAAACGTAAAGGTCGGGCAGGAGATGAGAGGATAGGAAGACTAGTTCCCTTCCTTCTCCTTCCTTGTCTCGATCTTTGATCCAAGCTTGTGAAACTCCTTCCTTGCTTAGCAGTCGTTTTCTTGATTAAAACCTTTAGTAGTTAATATTGAAAGCCTGAACTAATTTGTACACATTTTAAAGCGGTTTTCAATTGAGTGTCGTTAAATCAAAACGAAAGTAATCACTCTGTTCAGTCACAAAAGGCACGGAGAATCGAATCAACCAATCAGAACTCGAAGTAATTACATGTAGCTGACGCGAAGCGCGGGAAAACCTGTGTCAGCCAGTTACGATTGGTACTGGTTTTACTTCTGATTGGATAAGTAAGAGACGCGAGTTTTTTTTACGCCAACAGTGCATGTAGCGTAGTAAACCAATGACTTTTCGATACTTAAGTGAAAACCACTTCAGCTTTTAACGTCGCATTAGTAAGTAACTGGTAACTAACCTTTATTAATGTGGTCTAAAACACTTGACAGACACAAAATGGTACAGCATTGACAGACTTTCAAATTGTCCGCTATTGTATGTTTAAATTAGTTTTAAGAATTACTTTAGAATTGTGTATAGAAGTCTGTGTGAAATACACAGAATAGGATTCATTCGTTGGATGATTATTCTATGTTAAAGCAAGAGATATTCTCTTCATTAAGGTTGTAACCCTTTCTGCTACAGACACGGCAGTTTGTTATCAGTTATCAGCTGTGAAGTTTGAAAATTGAATAACAGAACGTTTCTCAAATTCTGGTGTCACGTTAGCAGTTTATACCAGTAAATCTGGAAATAATTTACAGTTATTTAAAAGCTGAAGGACATAATCTGTTGTAAAATTAAAGTTAGTTTAATAGATTTCCTTTTGAACCTTTGAAAGGCCAATGTGTGCATTATTTTAAATCTGCCTTCCCTACACTACGATGAAGTTTTCTGATGTGCTATTCAACTTTT